TTCCTTTAGTTTCCCTTTTGTTTTTCTTGTCTGTTTGTTTTCTCCCCTCGATATTTTTGGCTCATGAGTGTTTTTTTTTTATTATTATCATCTATCGCTTGTCTCGTTGCTCGTTTTTGTGTTTCGTGGTCTGTTGGAGTCTGTTTATTGGTTTCTTGGTTAGGTTAGTGAACTGCTTATCTGCTTGAACACTCTTCTCTCTTGAGGATGCAAAGGAAATTTCAGTCTTTCTGTGCAATAACTGTAGCTCTGTTCATCAGAGGTGCAAATTTTCAACTAACGCAAGAATCTCTCTTCAGTTACCAAATATGGTCATAAAAGTTAGCTAATTCCACTTCTCGTGCGGAAACACCAAACATGTTGCAACACCTTTAAGATATGTTTAGCAAAGAGTTAGAATATTTTCATCTGAAAAGTTATTTTTCCTCTGGTTCCTTAGAGACAACTGCGAAATGACAGGCGAAAATACAATTGGCACTGGAACTGATGACAATTGTCTCTATTCGAATAAGATAAACCAGGTACACACGGTTTAAGGAAAAAGATGATTCAACTCGCCTATAACCGTAAATGTTTCAATGAATGTTTTCCATATCATGTACCGTTTCCCGGCATGAAAACAACAGTTACATAGGATCATAATGTCACATGACTTTTTATCGAAGTAATCAGATTGAAACGAACACAAGGTTTGTGGATATAGTGCTTATCCATAACGTTTGCTTTACCCAGCTAATACCGTCAGAAGTTTATAAAAGCCCTACAAGAAGATCAGAGAAGCGAGTACTTGACTTGCGAAGGTCTTACCTTCTGAAGTGCTCGAAACTTTGGGCCATGTGTTTGAGTGACTAATCTTTTAAACTTTCCTGAGTCAAGACCTTCACGCAATTCACAAAATTCACGATTGAAAGGCCGGGATACTGTTCTCAAGGTGTTCGGCCGTTTATCTAACGTCATGCCTCGTCCTTTACTCTCTAAATTGCATCTACACTTCTAATTGAATAACCATGTACGGTTAAATTCTTGATGAAGCAACTAACAGTTCTGAACCAAAAGGCCTCGCTGAAATTATGATCCCGTGTTTAAGTGAACATTCACCGGATTTGCATGGTTTTCAACGAGTTAAATGTCTGTTTCAGGCAAGATTTATTCGATTTCCCAACTTATATTTTCTTCAATTAGATAGTAGGCCGTCCTACTAGTAGTTGTAAATTTTCTTTGTTACTCATACATTCTGGCTGACCTTCATAACTCAGAACTAATTAAAAGTTTATCGAAAGAGCGAGTTCCATTTAACCAGTGGAATTATTCTGTGTGAATATTCATCATCCCTGTAAAATGTAGTTATGTGTTTGTGATACACAGACTTAGGAAAAAAATCTCACTGTTCCAAATAGGAATATTACTTATGATCCATTGACTCCCACTGCAGAATATGGTAAGGCATGCGCCCAGTCATTTTAACCTAGCAAATTTCTTGACATAGCCGTCTGAATCTGTAGGATTGTTACTTTTGAGAGATAGACCCCTCGAAAGTGACTTAGAAGACATACATGTACCGTGCTTGAGATTTCATGTTCACAGAAGCGTTGTTAACCAGCTAAATAATTTTACAAGGCGCTTGCAAGCCTGCACTCAGCCGTGTCAGTTCCATAAAAATCTGTTTGCTCATTTATTTATCTGTCTGCTAACTGATGATCCTCATCGAACGATTGGGAGAGTACTTCATTTTGGTCTGGGAGATTTTGTGTGCGTTCCTGACTGATACCTTATTAAAACAATGTGTCCGTTAGGAACTCTTCATGTAGAAAACTGAGGCGAAAGCTCTCTGCCATACAGCATGGTTGGAATGTCAACCGGCCAAAGAGTATCATATCTAGTGAGCGGTGATCTGGCGTCCAAGAGTGACTGAGCCTTTAATGTATGATTTGCCATCAAAATTCAAAGGGGGATTTGAAAGAACTTGAGCTCTGAAATTTGCAGTCCTCAGACAATTTCAAAAGCGTGTAGTCAGCTTAGTTGTTTGTTAAGAAAAAGAGTATACGATGTAGATAGACAGATAATTAAAATGTCTCGAATGTTTCGTCTTAATGCAAAATTGAAAAAAAAAATGTATCACACTCTTAGTGTTTTAAGATATAATTGAATTACGCCGGGTTTTCACAATTCGATAAGTGAATTGTTCACGGCTTTACACATAGGCCTGTATTTAAAACTAATCATAACAATTCCGAGAAAATCAGATTTATCTGTTTCAAGCGGAACTGTTCTCCTGGGGGAGTAGCTTGTCGAAGTCAGACGGACATAGACTTCTCCATAGGTTTCTGTGCTGAGCGCTGATATCGTCCTCAAAGTTGGCACCCATCTTGACGAACAATCTAGCATCAAATATTTCCGCAATTCTGTTTTGGTACATTAGAATTGAAGCTTATCGCGGGGTAATTTTAGTCAAGCACACGGAAAAAGGTTGTCATCAGTTGGAAATCAGTAGAATTATCTGTTATCTTTGTTGCACATCATGCAAATCATTTATTTTTTATTGTTGATTACGCCATAGCACTTTGAAGATACAAATGAAGATGTCCTATCAGACAACTAAATTCTTGTCGTTACCAGTCAAATTCCGTCAACAGATCAACACATGTTCATAATACTTAAACAGCTAAAATAACAGAAATCACGCTGCCAAGTACAGATCAACCAAACGCTGTTTTTATTCGTTTTGTGCACTTACTTTGACCTATTGTTGTCATTATATCATTATATGCTTCCGCTGTTTCACTTTATTCATGACGGCCTTCTCTTCATGTAGTTTACTTTATTTTACTCTAATTTTTCCGGAATATCAAAATGTTCTGAAATGTTCATCTAAGTGTCGTATCGGTTTCTTAAAGTCTAGGATAAAGGACCACAAAATATTGAAAAAAACTTGTTCGATATACGATACTGTTGAAATAACACCGACCGATGTGTACATGCAGCCGTCGACTTATATTTCTTTAATAGTGTAACAAGCTCATGTTGAATAACACTGTGGCCTCTTCACGGGCGGTTCACAACCCACGTCTTTGAAAAACATGGTACGATTGATAAATAAACAGCTTAATTGAGCGATGAAAGACAACGGATAGGTGTCCATCCTTTTGAACACATATGGCGATAGTTTACAGGATGGGTGCTTTAGGCGAAGATAGTGATTTTTAAAACACATAAATGCTTAACGCTTGCGTTATTGACCAGACTGAATCACTCTACCATACAAAATTAGGTGGCTAAGGTCTCAGAACAAGTTCTTTAGTTGTCTTCTCTGTCAGTTTACCTGAACTTGAATAATTCTTCAGCCACCAGACTTGTCAACCGCAAGGATTTACTTTATTTTCGTGTGCATGTCGTGAGCGCAAAAAAGCTAGACTGTAATCGAATACCTATTGAAATAATGAGTTCCTATTCATGTTAATGCGACACTTATCTAGATTCTTATCAGTATATTAAGCTAATTAAGTGAACGGTGTGAATGGTGTTTGATTTCATGTAGGCCTAGATTGGTTCAACACAGGTCAAGAGGGACGTGTGACTTTACCAGCGTGGAGGATTACTCACCCTTTTTACAGAGCTAAACAGATCTCACGAAAAATGTGAGGAATGTGGTTCTTCAAGAACGGCATTTCCATTAAGAACGAAGTTTGACAAAGACCATCGACGTTGATGAACAATGTCACCTCAGGAAGTTGAGTAATTTCAGGCCTACCCGCAAATCCAGATGTGTCGAGTTGGTACTGCTATCAGATGAAGATCTTTGTTCTCATCACGAAAGGAATGAAATGTTTCTTTGTCTTAAGCAGCTAACCTAATCAAAAGCTTTTCAATACTTTGAATAGATTTCGTCGGCACCTCTGTGCTTTCTTCAGCTCTGATAGGGAATACTCATCAGCGTGGGAAAATAATTTCGCCTTGTCAACAGCCTTTCTCCTCTCAATCGATAACACACACTTTTGTTTGTTACAACGTAAAATAATTAATATTTAAGAAGGACTGCCAGAGATGAGAAGTGAATAAAACTGCATAAGATTTTGAGGTTTTTATTGAGAATTGGAGCAGCAACAGAACTAAGAATCTTTCTCTCACTATAATTGCACGTATTGTTGAATGAGAAAGACATAAGTTTACTCCTCCTGTTCAAGGCTATTGTTGGAATGCATACAGCGTTAGGCAAATCCGCCATAAAACTGTCTGATTTGCGCCGGCCGATCTTATACAATCCTAAAACGAATAAACCGATCAGAGGGAGCAACCTATTTCCGTCAACTATCGAAGCAAACAAACAAAAGTTTAAACAGTGTAAAGTTGTTATCTTTACGAAGGTCATCACCACCGGAATGAATTCCATAATTCAAAACTAAACCAATCAAAAACCTAACATTTCCTAGAAATTTAAGATTTCTGGAGACTCTCTTTAAAGGTGCCGTTGTAAACTTTCGATTTATTTCAGGGCAGTTAATGGTCCATAGATTTGATTGCTAGATTTAAGATTGGGTGCCATCATCTTTCATCATATGAGGAGAGGCCTAATCTTGCCTCTCAACTCCGCTTAACACAAACCTTTTACTGAACGAGTGCACGACATCGACTTCGCCTTGTGGGGCTGCGAGCTAGCCTCATACTGCTATCTCTGAGAAGTGTTAATATTCCGAGTCAAGGGTAAAACAAGTTAAACAATAACCTAATATACCCTAGAAAGGTCAATTCACTTCCTAAGACATCAAAACAAATAAACACGGTCATGTTCCTTGATAAGTCAATCTGCCATCTTTTCTGCAGGACAACTTGATGTCATTAGAATCAGAGTTTCGTAGCTCATGTTTATCTGAACCAACTAGTTGATAAGTTCCGTATGTGCTATGTTGAGTATCAAAGTGAATGGCATATGACTACGCTATTCTGGGATGCGGTCTCGTCCCAGTGCTTTTCCCAATTGACAAAATACCAAGGCTGTCATCAAAGTATTAATTGCTGTTTATTGCCTGTTTGCCAAAGAACTTAGCAGCTTGCGTGAAAAGGGTGCGACAAACGAGAATACACTGTCTGTGAAGTATACTACGAGTCTTAATGGAGTCTTCACCGTCTCTTTCAATGAAGGCAAATGCTTTCTCTATAGCCTCTCTGATGTCCTCTAGAGATGATCGAGGCGATTTTGGTAAGAGCATAAAACGACACAAGTATTTTGACGCACTTATCAGCTAAGTCATCCGTTTTGAGATTCTGACAAAGTGGCGCAAATTTTGAGTGCCTCAGAGAGTTGGTTCGAAGCATTATTTAAGGGTCACAGCTAAATATATGTATTTTTTAATCATTTCATTCTCTAGATCCGAAATTGTCTCCAAAAGACAGAGCGGAGAGTTTTTCTGAAGAAGAAACTACTCAACCACCGCCGGCAAAGAGGATGAAGTCTTCGTCAAGCGAAGAAACCATCGAAGACAAAGAAAGCGGGAATGAGTACGAAAACCCTTCTAAGGACGAACTGAGAAACATAACCGTTGAATTGGAAGGAAAAGAGTTATGGGAGAGATTTAGTGAACTTGGAACTGAAATGATCATTACTAAGGCTGGAAGGTGAAGTGCATTGTGAGTCGTCTGTGGCGCGCTGACCTGGAAAAGCCTATGCTTTTTGTGCAGTGCCACCAACTGATCTTTACGCTAACCGCTTGTAAATCGGTGCCGGAAATCAAAGTTGTTAAAAAGATAACAAGCTGTTTTATAAACAGCATCTATGCGTTTGCATAAACATACGTACGGCTCTTTATTGATGCTTCCTACCGTGTAAATTATCACATTCACTCACACAAACCACTGGACTGAAAGTTTTGATTTCTCATCTGATAAGTGATGTTAAGGTGCAATGTCGATGATTTAATTTGCCAGACCCATAACAGAAATAACCACATATTCTGAGTGCGCCCTTAACATCTACTTTCCAAACAATTACTGAGAGTAATTCTCTTTTTCGCAGGCGCATGTTTCCCACATTAAGAATATCTGTGAACGGTGTTAACCCCAAAGCAAACTATATGGTCTTAATGGATATAGTGCCTGTTGATGACAAACGCTACAGATACGCCTATCACCGTTCAACTTGGCTTGTGGCGGGTAAAGCTGATCCACCAGCGCCTGTAAGACTCTACATGCACCCTGATTCGCCTTTTACTGGCGAGCAGTTGTTGAAACAGATCATATCATTTGAAAAAGTTAAACTGACCAACAACGATGGCGACCGTAACGGACATGTAAGTAAACCGTTTTCTTTTTCATTTAGTACTTCAGAAGGAGCTTCTATAATCTCTCCTGGTCTGAGGAATAATTTTATCTCTTTGATTCAACATTCATAGCACCTTAAATCCAAACCACTTTGTACACAATTTGTCTCTCTTCTAGGGCACACAGTTTCAGAACAGCTCACAAAGAGCGGTTCGTACATCAACGAAATATTAGTTCTTGAGCATTCATGGTGCTTCAGCTTCCAAAAACCCATAAAACTTGAAGAAAGTTGACATCCAATTGAAAAATAATTAACTTTTGGGGCCATAAGAAGCTCAGAATCCTACGCAATCGGGGGCATCATTCCAATTTGCAAACTGCTCGTCTTACTTCAAACTATCCTACGATTTTTGTTCTATATGGCACGTTTGGTGATTTGCCTTGTTTTTGAACATTGCAGCTCATTCTTAATTCTATGCATAAATACCAGCCTCGAGTGCATATTATTCGTAAACGTGACCACACAGCTTCTGTAATTAATCTCAAGTCCGAGGAGATGAAAACCTTCACCTTTCCAGAGACAAATTTCATTGGAGTGACAGCATACCAAAATCAACTGGTGAGTATTTTTTCACGAGCTAACTGTTTCATTAAATATCACATTTTTAATCCTGCGCTATTTGTAGCACCTAAAGATGTAACAGACAAATTGTGGGAAACTAAAACGTTATTCCCCTGTTTCACGCTTTAATTGAATTATCATTTAATTAGGAAAAACACATGCAACCTCAAGAGCTCATTTGAAGGTTCTTCTTCTCCCTAGCCATGTAGCAACAAATTATGGCTTTTCTGTTGCATAAAATATTTGCGTATTTGTAACTACTATGTGAACGAGTTCTTTCAGAAATGAAAAGGAGATTTTCTGAAGCCAACACAGTTTAAAATTGTTCTCGACGAGATATCATTAATTGTAATTAACAAAAAAAAAACCTAAAAAGAACGGTCGATCGTGATCGGAAATATGTCCCAATATATCTAGAATGCACAAAGACGGATGTGGGTAAAAAAAAACATACACAATGGCTTTCCTATTAACATCTTGGTCAGTTCCATTGAGCAAGATCCTTTCTTAATAACGTAATTTAAAGCCACTAATGTCCGTCTTTATTTTTCCGCTTCGCAGATCACACGATTAAAAATAGATAGCAATCCATTTGCCAAAGGTTTCCGGGACTCATCACGTCTTATTCCAGTAGAAAGGTGGGTGTCAAAAGTAAGGAAGGTAAATACTCTTTTCACTGCCGTAAGAGTTCAAATTTGAAAAAACGAAAATGAGCATACAAAACATTATCTTAAAACAAGCTATGGTTGAAGAAGTAAAGGACTGTTTTTCTATCGACAGTAGTTTTACGTAACACCTTCATTAACGTCTTTCCTTGTATTTAACTTTTGCATTTCTTATCCCAGTTAACGCAGCGACTCTGCTCTGTCGTGATAGAGTTAGAATCCACCTGAGTGGAGATAAATCTTGCCGCTATTCGCTGATTCAAAGAACAATGACCAAAGACTAGAAATTGTCGTGCTTAGGGTCCTTTTCAAACTCTTGCATGTAGATACCCATAAACCATGAAAATGATTCCATCTTCAACTTCTTTTGTTTTAATTTCAGAGACTGTTTTCACGACGGTCACCCCCCTTCGATGGTTACAGACCCGTTGTATCCGTCTCTTTCCTTTCCGCTAATACCACAGCTTGGGGTTAACAACAGATACCAGCTTCCCAAGATCGGCTGTAGATCTCAAGACAAGGCAACTTTCTTCCAAACAGGTGATTTAAGTTAAAAATCAAGCGGACATGAGTACTGAGGAAAATTTAGAAACCCGACCATATGTACCGCAGACATGAATCAAGGAAAGATACCAAAAACTTGCTATTTATCTTTCACAACTTTGCGATTTCTCCCAGTTATTTTAACGAAAATATGCAATATTAAAGCGATGCACCGATATGGGTGGCGTGAATTGATTGGTGAATTAATCGAAGTGAAATCGATTATCTGAGTTTTATTTTCTCACCACAATCTACTTATATGGGCGTCTTCTAGGAACTCAGTGATAGACATAAACTAGTCCTACAGGCACTATTCCCAGCAAAACGCGACCACTTTGTTTTTTCAATCTGTGCTTGTCACGACATTCCTTTGTTTTAAGTTTTCGCGAGTTTCATCTACAATGGTTTGTATCTCGCTAAATATAAGGGAATTCACTTTCTGCAATTAATAATGAATTATGCCTTCGAACATATTCTAATGTAAAAATTGCCGAGAAATAGTGGACCTGTTTTCGTGGCAGTTTTGCATGAGAAATTTAAGTTTTGATTTTTCACCACCCAAGGCTATAAAAATGCTAAAGAAGTGTTTCATGATCTCTTCTTGCTCTCATTTTCTCCTTTTCTGGCTATTTTCTTGTCCTTTACGGGTGGCAAATGCTCAAATTTTGCGAAAAAACATACCATCCTTATTATGAATGTTCATCAGTCCTCTCTTACTGTATATGTATAATTTGAATAAATAAATAGTGTCTTACGATCTTTTTTGAAATTTTGAATAGCTTGAAACTTTGGATCGCATTAAATCAGAACCATTTCTCTGCAATATCACGTTGTACATGCTTTAAAGCAAGCTCAATGTTACTTTCGTGACCCAAGGTTTGACGAAATGCCTGTATCATTTGTTTCTTTCCTTTCGTCCTTAACCCTTATTTTATTTTATCAGAATCCTCCAACTCTCTCTCTCTTCCTTTTTTCAAGGGTGTCCACCACCGTCACCAGCTATTCCAAGAGTTCCTTTCACAGGAGTCCTAAGTCCCTTTCACCAGCAAGGTTTGCCCAACTTATTGTCGTCTATTTCTTCACCAAAACCCATGGGAGCGCTGGAAGTACCTCCACTACCACCTTACAGTGTTCACGGGGACTTTGCTGGCTCAACGTTACCCTTCTTTTAAACTAGATGTATATTACATGCAGTGAGATAATAGAATCGGAACGACGAGTACATTTCCTCTTTGACTAACAGGATATCTGCATCATGACCATGGCTTGTAAAGCACATTCTGCACCCAATATTTATCATGCTCATTTCGCCAATTTCTTTGGCGACTTGCATCATATTTTGTACAAGCTGGAAAGGCTAAATTGGCCTTTAAAAACTCATTCCCTTTATGATCGAAAGATTTTGCTTGCTTTTAAGCTACTTCGGCTATGTTCGACCATTTTGAATTAGTATGTATTTAAGGGTGAACATATTGATTAAGGACATTTATATACCTTTCCTATGGATATTACACCCACGCACCAACATTCCTTGCCGGTAAACTAAGTTACCAAGTGATGAAGTTACTAACTTCAATCGCTTGCGTAAAGATACTGGTAAAGACAATAATTACTCAACTACAATGTCAATAGAACTTGTATTATTGTATATAGTGTTATGTTCCTGGAGTTAAGAATAACCAATCAAATAATATCGTCATTACAGCATTTATTATGAAGATATAGAATTCCTCCCTTTGAGCAGGTTGTGGTAGGTCTCATAGACCCCTTTTCCTTTAAAATAATTTCTTGTTCGATTGTTTTGTAGCAATTTTTTGTTCAAATTGTGTAGCGGATCGGCGAAACTCTATTTAAAAGGCCAACGATCTTATAAGTGTTAAAAAGGTTGTCCTTCCTTCTTTTTTTAATCATTTTTACTCTTGGAGAAACTTTATATGTGACCTATTTATTATTTTTATTTGGAATATCCTAGGAAAAGAAATGTGAACAAAACGAATTGTAAAAAATGAAACTTTAACCAATTAGTTATAATGATGCATCTTCATTAAAGTGTTTCAGTTGTATGATATCGATGTCCTTGGTGTTGCTTTAGTCTGTTTGAGATCATCTTTTAAAGTTGAAAAGCAGACAAAGAATGTGTTCCCTTGAGAAAGGCAGTAATTTAGATTTGGGGAAACAATGGGAAAAGGTGAGCAGCACAGACATCGCGATTGAGCTAATTCCTTGATATTCGCGGTTAGTAGAGTGCAAGCATAAGAAAATACCATACAGCGTTTGTTGACTCTGCAGCTTATGAGGGTTAAGGGTTCCTTCAAGGGAAACAATAACGTTCTCAAGTTGACACTATTTGAGCATTAAGATCATCATTTCAGTCACGATAGTCAGGCCAGTGTCCGATCGGAAAAGAGCGCATCTGAAAGGTTTTTTTTTGTATGGTTTTGCCATTTAACAATGGAATACTGTCAGCACCTTTACATCAACACAGTTTGTTATCAAGTGTTGAGTGCTGAACAGTCAGCAAAAGGTAAAGGCCTGTTAGTCGATTGGCTTCACATTTCCCAACTACATTACGTGATGGCCTAAGAGACTCATGGAGCTTCGAGGTCTAAATGAACGTCAGAGCTAGAGAGTCCCTGTGTCACTAGCTCGGCAAAAAAATCTGCTGAATATTCGGACAGATTATCCATTCAATTAATCTGGTAAATTGATCTTAAAATAAGCTGTGAACAGAAGCCAGGAAGATGCGTAGATAACCCCGTGTCACGGGAATAGGCGGCATTGAACTGTCGAAGATGTTACCGACGGATGGAAGCGGCTGAGATGTCCTGATAAGAGAAAAGATGAGGCCATCAATCCGGGTCAACTAAGAACAGATGGTCAGGTATGAAATTACTTCGGTCTTCTTTACTGCTTGTGGACTCATTTTTTATTGAAAAGATGCTTACCTTTCTTTAAACTTTCATTGTAAGACCCAAGTACAGTACCGTGTAACAATGTTTTTGTTCCCAAGAGTCTCCGTGGTGGCTCCTATTTGCGAAGAAAATAGCTTGATACAATCATCAATTTGTTTATTCAATCATCACTTTACGTACTTTTACTTTGTTTTAATATCTACAAATTTTAATTCAATTTTGACAAATAAGGCACAAAACGGCGGCATAAATTCCATTCTTTGATATGCCAAACTCAAACCATTACCCTGTTTTGAGATAGTTTGATCAAAGTTTTAAGGTTATTGAGAGAGATAGCAAAGCGTAAGTCGAACGTTTAAAAAGCAAACGTGGCGGTGATAAACCATCTCCTGCATAATCATATTTTTTTGTTTTTAGATCTACCCCATTTCTTTTGTTACGGTCGAAATTAAACAAATATGCATTAATTTGCAATTTAAGACCTCCAAGAAACTAATACGATAAGCCGATTTTTATAAGTGGAACAGCTTATGTTTGGATCATCAAAAGTAATTTTTTTTTTCCAATTTATCTTTTAAATTGAATCCTCGATGAAGGTTCCGCTGGACAATTTGACGACGGTATCAAAATTGACATCGACATCGGAAAATAGAGTTTGATCCGTCAATAAGGCAGTGTTTGACCCAGTATGGAGATATCCATGGGAAATATATCTCTATTGACAATTTAAGGGCACCAGATAAAGCTATTAATACAACTTTTTGTCATTCCCCTATCCCAAAAAGTATAGATAAATCTATATCAGAAGATTGCCTGAGGAAAAGCATTTAGAAAATGTCACCACCCAGTGCCTTATCAGCCTGTAACCCATAGTTAAGGATAGTGTAACTTGCCCAATGACTTCTCCTATATCTTTCTTCTCCATAAAGCAACTGAAACTAAAATATCCTTCAATGTCTCTCACGAAAACGTTCTCGAACAATCATTTATGTCAGTATGCCGAGTCAATAGTCATAACAAAGATAACATTCTCTTTGTTAATATTACTCGTTGATTACTCAAATTGATGGTCGATCACCAAACTATATTCCAGACAACAACACAAATGAACTCTGCTTTTTCCATTATTCCATTACCTTCCTATCAGAAAGGCTACGATCACAATTTCAGTGAAATAGTTAGCAGTGTCTGGCAGCGTTCAGTTAAAATGTGAATCGGAAATGCTATTAACTTATCAGTTCTTCGATAACTGGAACACCAGATGTACCTAAACAAGCTATGCATCATGTTGTCAACACTTGGCATTATTCTTTTTCATTAACCTTTTAGGAAACTGTTTCCCTTGATGCTAAATACGACTCACTTTGATAACAGCCTGGCAGTTCCTTCTGTCTCTTCTATCATCCGTTTTCACACAAACTCCCGATTGGATGTTTGAAAAAGAGAGCCCAAACAGTGAAATTGTGGAAGATAATGGCACTATCTGAGTATGATTATGTTTGTATTTTCCAAAAGATGTTGATAAAGGCGTATACCTTGTTGGGCCCGGCGAATCCCATTGCCTTAATGATCCTAAGGAATTTCCTTCCAAGACTTTTTGAGGTGAGTGAGTGCAAAGCAAGAGTTTGGGCTCCAGATATTTTTCAGCAGAGGAGACAGTTTTATATTAAATTCAGTGCAACTGTTGTACCTAAGAGTAAAAAATCAGGAGATGCATATCATTGAAAGAATCTCTTAAGTATGTGATAACGAGCGATTGAATGCTTAGCATCATTCTCGGTCTCTTTGCAAATCCTAGTGAAATTACATAACGCGCTAAGGTTTTGCAACAAACTTGACTTTCAAGAAGACAAGGTGCACTTGACAGGAAATTTCTGGACCTTCATGGAAAGTTCTAGGTCTTGTGTTAATTTTTACAATAATAGAAAACCTCCTGCTTTTCAGATGCCAAATTACCTGTTGTGATATTTATTTAAAATTTCATACACCTATTCATTCCTAAAGAGAAACTCATATAAAAATAGCGGTACAATCGTAACTCATCCGTTTATTGTTGCGTCGTTTTCCTACAGTGCAGGTCACCAGAGGTTATGGCAGAGTAAGATAACAAACATCTTGTCAAATTTTCGAGACCCTATTTGGAATGTGCGTGATTGTTGCCCTCTGCGTCACACCAATATTGAATTCAAACGTTCAAAAGGGATGGTTCAATCACAAAACCTACTTTTAAAGGCAATTCTCGCTACCAACCACAAATTATTATTTTCCGGAATGGTATAAATTTTGGTTTATCTAAATCTGACCATTGTTTAAACATCAATGCGTTAGTTTTGATTGGCTTATGAAAGGCATAAGCCGAGATCCAATCAACAGTTACTTTAATAGCTGTTTATGACTTGTTTGTGTGTATCAGTGGTAATATGAAGGGTTTACGGTACTGTGAATAGACCAGGACGCTATGGCAGAGTGCTACGATCCAAGCAATACACAATCAAATCTCTCTTCTAAGGCCACGGCATTTTCAATTGCGTCTTTGATGGCTTCGGATGAAACTGGTACTTCATCTCTGCTGTGTTATTACTGTTTCTATTCATATTAGCCTCAGAGTAAACCATAGTTTAAAGGCACATCTGGAAGCAAATGGCAAAGATGTAGTGACCCGCTCTTTTCTGAACTAGATATATTCATATAATAGGATCTATGGTGTCAAGCCCTTGAAACTGTTTCAGTTTTCAAATGATGATCCCAAACGAACAATCGATACTAACCTGGCCCTCTTCGCACGGCGATGATATGTTTTCATAACTATCACGGGTGCGATGAGAGGGTGTCATTGCCCTATCAACGAAAATGAACCTACTTCTAGGCTGCTTTCTTACGTATTTAACACGTTGCTATTTGTTGCATTTAGGAGCAGATGAAGCGAAGAGGAAGAAGCCTTGCGCTAACGAAGATGTTCACGTGCAAGGCTCTGCATCTTCAAAGAGGCTCAGATCCTGCGGAGGAATCAATACAGATAGCGTTTCAGATGCGACAACTTCTCTGAATTCAGGAGCCGTTGGAGATGTAGAAACTATTACTGCTACCTTAGAGAGTCGCGATCTATGGGATCGTTTCAACGAATTGGGTACAGAAATGATAATAACAAAGTCCGGAAGGTAGGATTAAGATGTTGTGTTGTTTTAATACTGCTGAGGATTTTTTTTTGGTTTTAATATTCCTTCTAACGGCCTGTCAAGTTATAGAGTACTGTTTCGTTTCGATCAATGTCGCTGTTAGGTACTGAAAAATTCTTAAAACACAGTCGCGAGCATGTGTCAGAGATCCGCCACTTGAATGACCGCAGACAATATAGCAGTGAAGACAACTGTTTATGCTACCTACTGTAAGGTTAAGTGATCTCGGAGAATTTATAATGAGGAGAATTACCTCCATTGTGATATGCAGAATTTGCAATTAAATCTGAGTATTTTGCACGCGATAATGCGCTCCAAATGACTCCTTTCTTTCGACTTGAAAAGGCGACCGCAGAGACACACATACTTCACACCATGTTCTGTCTATTGCCTTATTGACAGGTATTGTAGATAGCATCCGAAATTGCTCACGAACGAAGTAGCTAGTTGCACTTTTAATCAAGAGAGACCCTTTTTTAAGGGAAACTGGAAAAAGTTCATCTGACATAGAACGCAAGTTGCTTTTTGCGTTAGAGGTTTGAGACGACTTATTTTTTGGTCTGTCATGAACCATTGATGACTCGTTCGTGTCAAGAAAGTTTTTAAAGTGTTGGTCAAACTACGGCCATGATGCAGGAGACTTTACGAATAAATTCCACAGTATGAAACTCACAATTTAGATTGTTCGTTATTGTTATTGTTCCTATGATTGTGAAGATCGATGTGTCCGGAATAAACTCTTTCTCTTTAGCTTATTATGCTATGTATTCATGGAGCTAAATATGACACTTCGGTTTCCTTCCCTGATTTCGCTCATCATTGAAATAATTCAGGCTCATCTATAAAACTATAACTTGATTGCAACAAGTGACAAAATAGGAAGCAATCAAATCAGATGAAGTGCATCGAAATTCCAAAATTTCCATCACCTTTTCA